ACTTCTGTGCTGTATATAAAACAATGCACATCTTCTCGTCTGTTTGTTTTTGTCACTACATCTACAGCCAACCTCTGAGTTTAAGGTTTGAACAACGGATCAACATCGTGGCAAACGGGTTGTAACCCATAAGTGCTCCGTTCTGCTTCTAACTCAAGTCTCAGTCCGAAGAAGCTCTGCACAATGCACAAGCTCTGTGGCACCAACAAGGATCCTGAAATACTTTGGGTAGTTGTTTTAACGCCAAATTTTCTCCCGGGCAGCACTGTTAGGCTACTCATTTCAATTTCCAACTGCCAAGGAATTTTTTTACCGATATCCGATATGCACACGGGCGTCCGATCTCACTACCCAGAGACCAGGGGAAATTACTACAAGTCCAAGTTCACGTTAAAAGATCACAGCCCTTAACGGGGATTGAACCCAGCACTTCTAGCACTCGAGGCGGACACATGCCTCGAGACCACGCAGCCCCCTTTACAGCCAACCTATAAAATGAATGTGGAATACAAAGGGAAAGGACTACAATAATACTGTATGCTGTAACAGTTGTAGTTAGCCGCCCATTGACAGCGCGATGGTTTTGGGTATAATCCGCACAGCAAAGATTTAACCAATGTCCTCCGCTCTGTGGCTTGGAGGTTGCGAACGCGTTTCGTAATGCCAGGTTCTCAGGTTCGATCGCAGCTGCAGGCAATTTAGCAGCAGACCGCCTTTCGTTGATTTGACCGTGGCATCGATAGCCGACCCTATCGATAGCAATGGCAAACTAGTAAAGGTAATTTTTTCATAGAAAGCCCACAACAACCAAAAATAGTTGGGTGGTTCTGCAACGACCTGAAAAGGACAAGCGACTAACGTTGGCTCCAAGGTCGACCCAGTTTTGGTACCAGGCAATGTCCTGGGAAGTACAGGCAGTCGGTGGGATTACGACCACATCGCGTATCAAGGGCTGTAAACTCCGCTAGAAATTCTGGTTGTTCGTCCACCTCTGAACTTTAGTCTTGTTCCAGAACACACAATATCGCTCACTGTCCTATTTGAGAACTAGCGAGAAGCTTGTGAGTCCAGCGAAATCATGAAGCTTGCAAACACATGCACAGAAAAAATACACAAGGCAGCTGTCAGATGTGCAACACAAACGGCCCCACACCAGAAATGCAGCTTAATATATTGTCGCAAACGGTGAATCACGAAAGTGGCATTGGCGCCCGCAGAAAAAGAAACAAAAATGCTTCTTTGAACTTAAATGGGGGATTTGCATCAGCAGAATCTGTTTGGATACAAATAAATTGTCAACGATTAACGGACTATATGCCATTTTGGCCACGGAAATCTGGCACTGGGTTAATTTAAAAGAAATCAATTAATACCTTGATCTTGTCTAGTTCTATAGCCAAGGCTTCTTCAATGACCGACATAACCTGAGTGATATAGGGACACAAGTATTGTACTTGCATATATTCTTAGCCAGTTTTCCCAGTTAGTGGTCCCTGAAGCCTTCGTGGTCAGAGCACCGCCAACTCAATTCTTGCACAAGAACGGGAATCCCCGTTGACCCAGTTGGCCTATTTATAGCTAAAGATGGCCGTGGGTCAGAGGAACAGATTTAAGGTGTCCGTGATATTATTAGGAAACCCATCGACAGGGGACTACAGGGTATTTCGCAACTGTGTGGTGGTGCCCCAGTATATGGCACTAGAGACAAAAGCAATTAAAGTAACAAATCAACTTACTTAATAAGATAGTGATTTTGATAGTAAAGTAAATACATAGACATAACTTATGACACTCATTGGCAAGGTATCAGCAGAGCTTTTAATAGTTTGAACACGTTATGGAACTGTAAATTGTCTCGTTTTAAAATCAAGTTACGTGTTTTTGGGTCTAATTGATTTCACTTTTAACGTTTGCAAGTGAAAGTTGCAGAACCACTAAAGACATGGAACAAAATTTAAATTTACTTAAAAACAAACGTCTGAGAAAAATGCTGCAAATAAAATGGGATGAATTTAAAAGGAGTGAAGAAATCAGAGAAATGTCTGAGCAACCACTAGTATCAACAGTTAGGAGACAGAGAAGATGGAGCTACACTGGAAACATCTTGAGAAGAAACCAGCAGAGAATCACCAAAAAGGCATGGAAATAGGAAACAAATTGATTAAGGATGTGATGAGACCCAGAGGAAACCTCCAATCGAACGTTGATGAGAGAGATGCTGGACTGAATTCCATCCATGGAATTCAACTGACTGGGTGGAACAGAACGTAATGGATGAATAGACTGCGGGCCCTATGAGACATATAAGGGTACAACAGGATCATGAATTAATATGGTTATACGGGTGAACGGGATTTCCCGGATTTAAACCTGTTTGATTCCCATCCTGGAGAAGTTAATATCACAGACTGCAATACTGGAGGGGGACACACAAAAGCATTTTTTTTTTTAGTAAAAAAAAAATTACTGTTTAACAAAAAAATCAGCCCTTTTTGTTGTTACTATTCTATCGTTTGTTAGTTTGTTTGTGTGTTAAAAAGTAGGTGGTCCTTAAGAGACCTAAAAAAAAAAAAAAAAAAGAAGAAGAGGGGTACATGCTGCTTTTATAATAATGAACTAGTATTCTAGGCTATTGCAAAATAAGGTAATGTGACCAGTTATCTTCATCGTCTCCTTTTCTATCCCAGTCAACTGATCTGTCTGTCTGTCTGTCTGTCTGTCTGTCTGTCTGTCTGTCTGTCTGTCTGTCTGTCTGTCTGTCTGTCTGTCTGTCTGTCTGTCTGTCTGTCTGTCTGTCTGTCTGTCTGTCTGTCTGTCTGTCTGTCTGTTTGTCTGTCTGTGGGTGTGTTATGTGTGTACTGAACATTTGAATCGTGAATATTAACAATGTTTTGATCAGTAAATTTCGAAAAGTAACACGACACACTTCTACCAGGATATATTACTTATGGAGTGACCTGTGTTGACCTCTGGCTGCACAAGGTGGGTCTCCGATCTTCTACAGCCTGGAACTGTTCTGTGAGGGATCGCTCGTACACGGCTGGAGATCTATGGGCAGAACTGGTAGGGGGAAACACGTCATTAATGCATTGTTAGTTTATTTACAGTACATCGAAATGTATGGCTCAACTGGGGGAAACACGTCATTAATGCATTGTTAGTTTATTTACAGTACATCAAAATGTATGGCTCAACTGGGGAAAACACGACATTAATGCATTGTTAGTTTATTTACGGTACATCAAAATGTATGGCTCAACTGGGGGAAACACGACATTAATGCATTGTTGGTTTATTTAAACACTTTGAAATGTATGGCTCAACTGGGGGAAACACGACATTAATGCATTGTTAGTTTATTTACAACACTTTAAAATGTATGACAGAACTGGTGAAAAAGACCTTTTAATAAATTATTAGTATATTTATAATACTTATAAAAGGATGGCAGAACTGTTGAAAAAAAAACACACATTAATACACTGTTAATGTATTTATAATACTTCGAAATGTTACATAACTTATGAAATAGCGCCATTTTCGAAAATAATAGAACATTTTTCGAACATGGAGAAGTACTTCGACACGACGAGGCATGAATGTATATGTAAATCACTCTCTTTATGAGGGCGAAAAACGTAAAATAAAGCGTAATACAAATATTTTCGCGATCCACTTCTGCACGGAATCGATAGCATCTTGTACAGTGTCTTCACATTTACTTAGCAAGGGGAACACCTGGTTCCTAGTTAAACAGAACTATGAAGCTAAGTCATGTATCCAACGTGCGATTTTATTCAACCTCAAAAGAAGTTATACGTAGGGTCCCACTAACGGCAGCAGTGACAGTAATCGTCCAGTGGCGCCTTAAGTCTTGTGTCAGTAATGAGTTCAATGAAGAAGATACTTGTAATTCAAACCTCAGTAATGCCTAGCTAAAGTCATCCCCACAACCCAACCCCGGTTACGCCCTATAGGCCAACCCCTCCCTCCTTGGACACTCAGTGTACGCTGTTGGCGTCCAACCCGTCCCTTTTTTCCCCCTACCTGCGCGTTGGAGGTATATAGGCTGACCGTCGTTTCATTGAACGAAGTTTTTTCGCCAGGGACACTAGATGAGTATCGTTTATTCTATACATTAGAGTCCTATGTAGTCACTTCATAGTTAGAGCCTATTTGTATATGTGTACTGTGTTGTCCTTTATGTGCTGATGAAGGCTAATCGCCGCAACGTCCTTTGTTTGTTTATTGTGATTGATTTTGTAAAGCTAACATAAACTAATTGTTGTTTCTTACCCACTTTTTCTCTTCCCTATAATTTTCTACTCCTTATAAAAAGCCTATGCAATAGGAAAATCTTGGACTCAACATCTGCCATAGCCGGCAGCTCATACTGGCAAGCCCACATACAGCCCGCATAGTTTAAATATTGTGCAATAATTTGTATTAAATAGCTTAAATAAGCTGTCGTGTCTGGCCCTAATGACGTCAACATCGGACCCAACTGGCCCCCATAGGAACCTCACTTTGACGTGCCTGTGTTATAGAAGTTATGTTTTCTGTTTATCAGCATTATCATCCTCATAAACCACTTCAGCCGTTAAGCGTCGTGGGGAGGAATAATTTGCAATCCAGTGCACGTTGGCTGCCACTGGCTATTGTCATGCCGTGAAGGCGTAAAGTGTCTTTAATGTTGTCGATCTATGTCTTCCGCGGCCGTCCTCTTGCTCTTGTAGTTGATCTTCTGAGATGTAGTGCTTGTGATTGTATTTGATCTTGCTGCATTCTAACAAGATGGCCAAACCACTTGATCTGCTGTTTCTCGATGAATCTAGTACAAGGTGTCGTTCCCACTATTTGCCTGATAGTTTCATTATTCACTCGATCTTATCTGTTTATACCCGTATTAAACTACAGAAAGAGGTTTGTGTTGAAAAAAAAAAAAAAAAAACTAACCGACCCACGCAAAATGGGAGCATACCTTGTAGTGACCTGTAGACCTGTAGTGGCGTTGAAAGTACATCTGCACAAGGTCCTGTGACGTGATATGTCCCTTCCTAACACACACAGACTGACAGTGTTTCTAAAAGATTCTCGAAAATTCTGGAACACAAGATGGTGAACCAAAATATTTAAATGTTCAAAGTTTGATTTATTTTGTTCCTGAATTATTAGGAAAGTAAAATACTCTGAGGGTGTCAGATCGCACAAATGAAATGGTGTTACTTGTACTGAAAGTCTGAGTTACAACAAATGAAATGGTGTTAACTGTATTGAAAGTTTCAGTTAATACGAATCAAGTAGTGATTACTGCACCGAAAGTGCAAGATTAGCTAAATGAAATGATGTTCTTTGTACTATTACTTATGAGATTAACCAAATGAATATGTGTCATTAACATAAACGCCTTCATCACTATAAGTATTGAACAGGTCCTTGGCAGAACACTGCTTCAATCGCAGCACTCTGGAAAGCCTCCAGTTCATTTGCCGGCTGCCATGCCCGGTGCTTGTTACAATTGTAGTGTGTCCCTTCAGGATTGGAGTCCACAGAATAAACACCTTAAGGATGAGAATCACACATATACAAATCACGGTAAACCCCCGCTAAACCGTAAGGTTGTCTGGCTTGCCCCGCGGTTGTAAAATAACGTGGCTAGAACAAAGCAGGGATGATGACTTTTAAATGAACGGTGGGACTGCAATATAAGACCACAACTCATTGTAAGTAAAGCAAATGATCCTATTGATAGTGTAATGAATCACTGTAATGACTCAATGTAATGATTGCACTTGTGTCTAGAGGTTGGGTCACAGCTTAATCTAACAAGACTGCACTGCTCTCATCAGTCACACTACTTCTAACGATGGGTGACACCAGCTGATACATTTCATCAGTTTATGACAATACACGAATCAACAACGATGTCCACTTACACCATTCGGGGCAATCTCGACTTGCTCTTAATGCTCCAGACATACTTCAGACGATCCACGTGCTCTTCATTCTCTATTCATCTTTACCGATTGTCTTACATCCTTCCTCTCTGGGGCCCAGTCACAGAATCACCAAATGATTCTCAATCCCCCAGATTACCATTCACACGTGACTCACTCTTTCCTGTCGTTTCACTCATATCTCCGTGATTCTCAGGGAGCCCATCATCACCTGACGTTATCCCTATTTATAACATCATTACAGATAGCCATTAGACATACTGGGTGTGTAGACCAATCAGCATTTGTTGATGGATGCGATCAACATCACACCGGTCGCCTTTACTTCTCATAACTTTACTTGATACTGTAAGCCTTTACTTAGGCTGTGTCGATCTGGAAGCCACGATCGTTTTAAAAACTTAAACAGATCCTGCTCGACTCCTGTTTGACCCCACGATAAATGAGGCTAAAGATCTGGTAAAACCAAAACAGAAATTTAGTAACCATGGAAATGATATTACGAGAAGAGTTGCAAAGAAATTGAAAAAGATACAATCAGGAATGAGTTCCTATGAGAAAAAGTCGACACAAGAACCAATTCTGAATTATGTATAAGGTTAGTTGCGTATCCTTTACGACGTTGCAGGACCAACCCCAGCAGCCCCTGGTTGTTGTGTGGTTTTCCTAGGCCAATTTATGTCCAATAGTTTGCCATTGCTTTGTGGACGGTCGGTCCCCTGATACCACTGACGAAACCAACGCAAGGCGCATGGCTTGCAGCTGGGATCGAACCCGGCACCCCGGCATTACGAAGCGTTCGCATCGACTTAGCCACAGAGCCGACATAAATTATGTATAACAACAGCAAATTAAATGATTTGCCCACTCAGAGAGAATACGCGGCGTCCGTGGCTCAGGCGTTGCGAGTCCGACTCGTAATTCCAACGTACAGCGATCGATACACACTGCTGGCTGCGAGGAATTTTATCATAGTATGGGGCGTCGCAGGTGGACCCAGCCTAAAATGGGTACCAGGATGGCTGTCCTGGGGAAGTAAAGACAGCCGGCGTAATGCTGACCTCATTACCCTCTTAGTGCCGATTGGTCTGTAAAAATATAGGATGCTCTTCCCATATGCCCGATGCGCCTAAGGCGTTAAAAGGGATCATAACTTACTCACAGAGAATGCATTATGACGTCATACCATACAGGACATACACCAGGAGAAGGCGTAGAGCAGGGTAGTGCTAGAACAAAATAGAAAGATAAAATCAGAACAAACTCTACAACAGAGTCAAAGAACAGATTAAGTTCGTGAGCCGAGGTACTACAGTATTTTCTTCAGATTACGATGACGACTTGCTAAAAGGATCATTGCCAACATCCTACGAATCTTACAAGAAAAACAACGTATTGTGTATCTTTTCGTACAGACTACCGGGAAGTCTACTTTGTATTGAAGATAAAAACAAAACCAAAAATAATAAAAGAGAAACTTTTAAAAATAAAACAGAACTAAACTCATTACGGCTTTTCAACTTTCGACGGTTTTTAAAATTACACCACAAAAAGTCTAAAAAGGGAATAAATATTTAAAATATCAACTGGCAGAAATCGCAGTGGATATCGATCTTGTCTTCAGAAATTCCAACACTGGATGTTCTAAATAAGGAAATCCCTACAGGGACATTAAGCAGATAGAAAATCGGATCGACTCAAAACATATTTTATGTTTGCACCTGCCGTGTTACCACTTCTGAACAACAAATTATGGATTAGATAACACTAATAGCATTGATCGACCATAATAGGATGAGGAAAACAACAATGGGAAATTTCCAGATGTTAGGACAAGCAGTCTTTCACCATTTGTTTAATGATGTAAGAATTTTAATGGCATTGAATGGGGCTGGGAGAAAATAGACGACGGACAGTTTGGATGGCATCAGAGAAAGACAGGAGTGCACTATTTTCAGAGGTCATGTATCAGGAAACAATTGCAGAGATGGAGGAGAACGAACGAACGAACGAACTTTATTTTCAAAGGGTTACAAATTAGGCACGCAGGCCTGTCTTACATTCGGCCCTTCAAAACTTCCATCTTTCGCACAGCAGTTGTATTTCATCAATGAAGGATGTTATATTTATGTAATAATATGCATATTACACACACACCCACATACACACACAAGCCAAATCACTCACTTACACACAGGAGAAAAAAAGGAAGATACAGACTAGAAAATTTAGAGGAATGAGCAAGCTCATAGACTGTCTGCTGCCTCTCCTCTGGGTGGTGAGCTACGTTATGATAAAGTGAAAGTGGGTCGGGCTCTCTGGGATCATATTGACAGTACAATAGAACAGAGCAAAGATCCTTTCACAGACATACTACTTCAGCGAAGAGTAAGCAGGGGTCTTGAAGATTTTCAACTCAGCGAAGAAAACCTAGGCGAACTTTTAATCAGGTTGTAACAGATACTGTTAGCATATGAAGTCTTCGCAGGATACTGAAGAAAGAGACAGAGAACTTGTGGGAATGTCCCGAGTGAAGGGATGTCAATTCCTAATTCATTCATTCATTCATTCATTCATTCATTCATTCATTTATTCGTTCACGAGATAGAACAAGACTACAACAGGAGACTATAGAACAAGACTACAACAGGAGACCATAGAACAAGACTATAACAGGAGACAATATAGAACAAGACTACAACAGGAGACTATAGAACAAGACTACAACAGGAGACCATAGAACAAGACTACAACAGGAGACCATAGAACAAGACTACAACAGGAGACCATAGAACAAGACTACAACAGGAGACTATAGAACAAGACTACAACAGGAGACTATAGAACAAGACTACAACAGGAGACTATAGAACAAGACTACAACAGGAGACTATAGAACACGACTACAACAGGAGACTATAGAGCACGACTACAACAGGAGACTATAGAACAAGGCTACAACAGGAGACTATAGAACAAGGCTACAACAGGAGACTATAGCACAAGGCTACAACAGGAGACTAAAGAACAAGACTAAACCATGAGACCATAGAACAAGACTACAACAGGAGACTATAGAACAAGACTACAACAGGAGACCATAGAACAAGACTACAACAGGAGACTATAGAACAAGACTACAACAGGAGACTATAGAACAAGACTACAACAGGAGACTATAGAACAAGACTACAACAGGAGACTATAGAACAAGACTACAACAGGAGACTATAGAACAACTAGGAGACTATAGAACAACAGGAGACTATAGAACAAGACTACAACAGGAGACTATAGAACAAGACTACAACAGGAGACCATAGAACAAGACTATAACAGGAGACCATAGAACAAGACTACAACAGGAGACTATAGAGACTACAACATAGAACAAGACTACAACAGGAGACCATAGAACAAGACTACAACAGGAGACTATAGACAGGAGACCATAGAACAAGACTACAACAGGAGACCATAGAACAAGACTACAACAGGAGACCATAGAACAACAACAGACTATAGAACAGGACTACAACAGGAGACCATAGAACAAGACTACAACAGGAGACTATAGAACAAGACTACAACAGGAGACCATAGAACAAGACTACAACAGGAGACCATAGAACAAGACTACAACAGGAGACCATAGAACAAGACTACAACAGACTATAGAACAAGACTACAACAGAGACCATAGAACAGGAGACAACATAGAACAAGACTACAACAGGAGACCATAGAACAAGACTACAACAGGAGACAACAGACTACAACAGGACCATAGAACAAGACTACAACAGGAGACCATAGAACAAGACTACAACAGGAGACCATAGAACAAGACTACAACAGAACAAGACTACAACAGACCATAGAACAAGACTACAACAGGAGACCATAGAACAAGACTACAACAGGAGACCATAGAACAAGACTACAACAGGAGACCATAGAACAAGACTACAACAGGAGACAGGACTACAACAGGACCATAGAACAAGACTACAACAGGAGACCATAGAACAAGACTACAACAGGAGACCATAGAACAAGACTACAACAGGAGACCATAAGAACAAGGAGACTAGAACAAGACTACAACAGGAGACCATAGAACAAGACTACAACAGGAGACTATAG